AATGAAATGCCAACGGAAGAGACTTCCAGTTTTTCATTCCTCCCCAACCCCCCCATTTTTTTTTTTTTAATTTAAATGAATGTTAACAGAAGATAATTCTAGTTTTTCATTCCTCCTCAACCCCCAAAAAATCTCTGGGTTTTTGGGGTTTTGGGTTTTTTTTTTAAATTTGAATGAATTGCCAATGGAAGATAAACCCAGTTTTTCATTCCTCCTCAGCCCCAAATAAATGTTTGGGTTTTCGTTTTTTCTGTTTTTAATTTGAATGAAATGCCAGCAGAAGATAATTCTGTTTTTTCATTCCTCCTCAACCCCCAATAAATCTTTGGGGGGTTGGGCTTGTTTTGTTTTGTTTTTTTTTAATTTGAATTAAATTCTCACGGAAGAGACTTCCCAGTTTTTAATTCCTCCTCAACCAACAAATATTTGCAGGGTTTTTTTTTGTTTGTTTTATTTGAATGAATGCCAACAGAAGATAATTCCAGTTTTTCATTCCTCCCCATGTTGAAAACTGTCCTCTTTTCGGGCCTCGACCAAATAGATTTTTAATTCCCCTTCCCACTTTGCAACCTACAGTAAACACATCAATTTATCGTTGCTGAGTTCACTGCGGCTCCCAAAGGTGGAAGGGAGCAATCAGCAGAGAATAACCCGCTGGGGCTTTGCTGGGTTTGAGCTTTTGCAGGGTTCCTCGCCACGCCTGGGCTGAGGCGGCCTTTCTCCCTGTACTGAACCTCGAGGCCATGCCTGGCTGGTGGCGACCCCAAGATGGCGTCTGTGAAGGCCGAGGCCGCCCGTGGCGGGGAGGCCCTCAGGCTCTCGCGGGGCTTTGCCCACTGCTGGAAGGGCTGCCGGAGACCCCCGGACCTCCCTGGGCTTCAGAGCGAGGCGAAGCCCAGGCAGACCTCTCTGCTTTATTTTTTTTTTTTTTTTTCAATTACGTCGCTTGTCCAGTAACACAAAACCCCGCAGATTTTGTTTTCCACGCGCCTTTCCAGGCCCGGGTCCCGCCCCGGAAACGGCCGCCGCTCGCTCTGCCCGGAACCTGTGGAAGCGGAACGCAGATTCGCGGTG